TTATTATTATTATTATTATTATTATTATTATTATTATTATTATTATTATTATTATTTTTATTATTATTATTATTATTTAAAATATTATTATTTTGATTATTTTTAAATTTTAAACCTGTTAATGTTTGATAACAATATAATTTAAAAGTATCAGCTTCCAATACTTCTAAACCTGAAGAACTTGAATTCTTGACTGGTGAAATCTGTGATGTTATAGCGTGCACTCTAAAAATTAAAAATAGAAAGAATCTTATTTATTATTTAAAGACCTTCCAAAATAAATTAATTAAAATAATTAAACAAAAAATATCTCTATCTATCGATCGATACAATTATATAATAAATATATTACCCATGAAAAGTACCCGCTAATACTAAATATTCATTTGAACTTAAATGTGCTAAACCTTCGTTAAAATCTTTTTGATAAATAAGTCCACCCGCTTTATTAATTATATAAAGTGAATATATCATTTTTTTTTCTTTTTTGACAATAATTATAGAATTTACAAAAAGGTTGATATCGATGATCAGCATAAAGTCCAGGTGCATTAGTATATCAATAAACGCACATCACTAATTTTTGATGATGTAATCCAAGTTATTTAATTAATAAATTAATAATAATGGTATCAAAATGGCTAACAAAACAATTATTAATCATCGCGCAATATATCGATCAATTTATCTACCACTCAATTCATTGTTCGTGGTTACCAGACTAGATAATATATTTACTAAAAAAATTTTATATCAAAAATCAAAAATGGATACAAGTATATAAATATATATATATATATAACATTAATATCACTTTGATTATCTAGCAATCATAATATATAAATGTAAGTAGATGTGATTATTCTACTTGGATGACAAGAGATCTATTCATTTTTTTTTTGTGGAGTAAAATAAATTGATTTAAAGAAATTCGCCTTACGGTAATGAAGCTTCGAAATTATTTCAAAGTGAAAAATATTACTAAATGGATCTGAATCCTTATTAGAACACGATAGTCTGGATCCTTATTAAGAAACATTAGTGTTTCTGCTTTGCGAAATATACTTTCCTAATATTTCTAATATTTTAAGAAGCATTATAAATTTCCATCATTAATAAGCATCGAAAAAAATCCCAGTCAATAAATAATCTTCGTTTAAGAAATTAAGAAATCTTCATCATTTCATCATCCTCAAGTTCACTATTTTCAGATTGATATCCAAGGAGACGTATCTTAAAATTTTGTAAAAAACTGTTAGTAAAAAAAATTATTAAGTCCAGATACATTCAATAGTAGTATACCTTATTCTATACCTTATTATTTTCTGTCTTTTCTAATGAATTTTTTAATTTTCGTTTACAAGACTTTGATATTGGTTGCTCCCTTTCTATATCTTGATTATACTCCCTTTTTTTTATTATTTCAGCATTGAAATTTTCACGAACATCATTATCTTGTTTATATACTAATCTTTTGACTATCACGTGTTGTTCAGCCTAATCCATAAATGAGGCATTATTCATTTGAATTCGAAAAGAATCATAGAATCATAAAAATATGCCTGATACATACATCACACAATTTGCTTTTCTTCTCGGCAATTTCTATTTTAGTTTCTATAGTTTTCTTCTTTTTCTCACGGTTCTTCGATTTCCAATAGTTATTAATATCTTGTTTACATTTAAAGTCCTATAAAAAAAAAAGAGGCTTTATGTCGGTTGAAATTCATGAAACATGCGCAAGTTTACTGAATATAACTGACTTGTAAAGTTTCCTTTACTTCGATTGCTTTCGATTTTAATTCCGGGTCCGTACTCAAAGACATATACTCTAAGCATTTGTTTAATGCGAAATGGGCCAAACTTTTTTTCGTGAAATTATGATGTTTAAAAAAGCCTAACACAGAGTATTCATGACCTTCGTTGAGAAAATATGGGAGATATTCTTGTACGTCTTTTTCCATTTCGAAGTCAAGTCAACGCGAACAATTTGTGTTACCGCATTGATATTGAATTGATCAATGTATTTTATTTTATTTCGTAGTACAAATTATTTTCTATTAATATCATCGATAATATCACAACTTTTTTTCTCGAAATCATAAATGATTAAAAAAACCCTATCAGTATGGTATGACGATATAAAATCAAAACTCATTATTATTTTAAAACAATAAATATTTTCAGATTATATGCTATTAATAATATTAATAATCAACTTTTGATCTATCTATTAAAGGTAATAATCGTTATCTTTAACATTCATTTTTTAATGCTGGTGTCTAAGGTGCGGGAAAACAACCCTCGCCAACACAACGAATCATCCCATCATCATTGTCAATAGGAACCAATACTTTGACTATTATTCTAAATCTATTATTTTTAAGATAGATTTTTTAAAGACGAAAAGTCAAGTGTATGTCTAATCGATTTTACAGAGTTGTTTACATTATTATTACTTTTGTCATTAATAAAAACCTCATTTTTATCATTGTTATTGAAATTATTAACATTATTACTATTCTGAGACCTTCTTCCATTTTCCAACTCGTGTGGGAAAATTTTTGGTTTTTCTCAGAATACCAGCCTTTTTTTTTTTCTTTTTTTTTTAACAGCCTTTTTTGCAGAAATTTCAAATCTTTTTGATGGCTAGTTGCTAAATAGAAACTTGCTCTTATTTCATTTCAGTAATGTTATAAAAAATAAATATAACTAAACTAGGTTGCAAAGTAACGGTTAATATTCTAATTTAAAATTTTTGAAAAAAAGGATGTAATTGTTACGTGTAACTACTCTTAGTGCAGCCAATAAAAACACGTGTGATCCTAACTCCAAAGTTAATTTTTTTCTTATTTATGTTGTGCCTCAGATCGACTTTTTGCGTCAGATCACCACTGAGGTACAGTGGGTGGTCAAAAGTCACCGGACAGTTGAAAATTTTTAAAAAAATTACTAAATTTAAAATGCAAATTGTGCTACAACGAGTGATCTAAATTGCACAAACTTTTTTTTTATTAGATTCCCCTAAATCAGGGCTATCATGTTATATATTTTTATTAAAATTAAATATCCACACGTAGAGAAATTACACTTCAAATAAAATTAACAAAAAATGATAAATTTAATCTTTAATTGTT